AAAATGATAATTCCGCAAGTTCAAGCACTAAGCAAGATGATACATTAGCCGATATAGATCCACTTGAGACAATTGCTGAATCATCTCCTAAACAAGAAATAAAGACAGAAGGTATGGAGTCAGAGGTAAATAAATCAGAAGTTGAAAAATCAGCAGACGACATTGCACTTGCTGATGACGTACCTAAACGTGGTGCTACTGACGACACTGATAATGAAGCTGATGATCTGAAATCCGAAGAAATAGTGCAGACCAAGGAAAGTAAGAATGATACCGACGATGAAACAAACAAAGAAAAAGAGGAATTAAATGAAGACGATTCAGGCGGAAAAGATGTCGAAAAAGATGATGGCCAAAATGAGACAGAAACAAATGAAGATAATGAAAAGCCCTCAGACCATGATAGAGGAGAAAATGAGAACGAAGAAAAGGTATATGAAAGTGAAAAATTAGACCCTGTCGTTGAGGAGGAAAAGAAGTCGAATGAAGCGGAGATACTTCCTCAAGAAGAGGAACCTCCTAGAGAGAAAACTCCAGAGCCTGAACCTATAAAGATAACACGTAATATTGACATTGACAATGCAGTAACAGTGATCGAAGATACTGAGGGAAGTCTCAAAGATCTACTGAATGATATGAAAGAACTCTTAACAAACTACCAAGATAGAGTAAATTCACAATCTCTTTCAGATTTCACAAATGATTTGGATAAGTTCAGAGGTGACTTTGAGTCTTTAAAAGATGCTTTCAAATATAGTGAAGAACTGTTTCATTATCTCAATAAAACTTTGAAAGATTTGAGAATGCTAGGAGATAATATGAATTCACTCATTCAGAAGAAGTTTCGAATGGAGGACCTAACAGTTTGGTTGGAATCTCCTGAGGAGAGATTGGAAGGTTTGTATTTACCAAATATTAATGTGATATGAGAATAATACTTTTTGTGAGAGTTTAAATGCACTTAGATAATTGACAGCCAAAGCTTTGTAGATTAGTGCTAAATGCTTAATGCATTAATGTCTCTTTATAAGATTTCACAATGTTATGTGTATTTAGGTGTTGATTTTTTATCAGTCAAAAGCTTCAACTTTTAAAAATACCTGTCTTGACAGCTAGTGCATTGTAATATATTCTGCCCACCTTATTTAGATATATCTGGTATTTCAATAGACCTTTAAACTAACAGCGAGCATTCAAATAGAACAAAATGACGGTCCATTGATTAAATATATTGAATACTTTAAATCCGGATAAATTTAGAATTCCTTATCAACCACTGGTGAAGACATTATCAGTTCTGATAATTACCGATAGATATATTAAATTATGGGTCTATATTATTAATTGACGCTGTGGAAGATCCCTTCTAATCAATCTCATAGAACATAAAAATGATTTTCAATGTTTGTTGACACGAACTTAGTTTCGTTTCGAGATGGAACCAAACCAAACATGTCTCAATCTTTGATGTTTTGAAAATGAAATTAATGTACACTTTAATTTAAAGAGTAGATCGATATTTTACACACATAAATCAAATAAATACTCGAATAAAATTTACACCAAGTTTATTAACTTGTATTTCATTTTAAGATATTCACAAGCTGCATATATTTTCTTTACTTATCCCAAGTACAGTTACGTAAATTGAAGTGGTAGGTTTTAAATTGTATCAAGCTCTCGTGGCGTGAAGGTAATATGAAGAGTTGACAAATTCAAATGTAACAGTAAATATTGTCAGCATTTCTTGATCACTTAGAAACATGTAAATATGAAAACAGTTGCTCTTTATATGATAATTTATGACGTGCACTTATGTAATATCTGGTTCTATATTTTAAAAAAGATTTTTCGACTGTTATTAGTTTCCACGAGAGGTTTACAAAATAATAGAAAACATTTATTCTTTTTTTTAAAATGAATATTATGTTCAACAAGTGGATTTTATGACATTTTTTTTCAAATTTCTGTCTCACTTATTAATTTCAAGGGACATGATGGTATTCTTTACTATTAGGTTATAATTAACATGATTAACAGAGACATATAAAGTCTCTCTTCGAATCTAGAATCGAGGAATAAAGTTTATATGAATAAAGGATTTTCTGTGGAATCATTTTAATTCATAGGAGTCAATGTTTGTGGGCAAGTAAATTAGTATTTGGTTGTAGGGACGTAATTTTGTGGATTCAATGAATGAATATGTTTAAAAATAATCGTTCATGGGTATATAAATTCATGGGCAAGTTCACCCTCGATATACACGACTATGGATAATCCCTAAATTTCGAAAAACATACTACCATGTATACATTTTAGTCAATAATTAATTTACGTCAAATACCTATCTAAAACTGAACTTTGTAATAACCATAGCTGATGCCATTTCATAGGCACAGAGAATATACCGATATCCCAGAGATTTTCTAGCTAAAAAAAAATCAAAATTAAATAAACATATTTTTGTGAAATTTGTAACATATCAAATTTTAGTCGATCAATTAAAACACAAAAAAACCAATAACGTTCAAATTATAACTACGAAACCATCAAACTTAAATATGTAACTGTGTGTCAATGCTTTTCTAAAAATTATAGCATTTCCAATTAAGCTTTAAATTACATACAATTATATTTTATCACTTCAGGACTTTGTCAATGTTTTTTTTTTTTTGTAAATAAAATATAATAAATATATTTCAAAGATAACCATTTTAACATTTTCTTATAGAAAAAGAAAAATTGAAGGAAGAGCGAATAGCCGTGGAGAAATCTGCGATGGCGAAGGCTGCAGAAGCACGTGCCGCTATTGCACGTGCAGCTGTGGGTGTGACAGAGTCTAGTTTATACGCCGCTGAGGTAGAAGCAGAAGCTGCAGAGGCCGAGGGTGTCGCCATGAGAGCGTGGGAATCGGCACAGGTATAAAATCAAACAGTTACGATTGAAGATAATTACATGCATTCCTTTCATTAAGTACTAAAAACATCAAATGATACCTGTAACGCGTTTCATACATAGAGCATAATTTTTTTTTTTAATGCAAAAACACTGTTATGATAACCCTCTGGTAGGAGTTTCGCTAAGAGACCGGGAGGTCCCGGTTCGGTTCTTGATTACGGCGTCGCATCAAACCTAACACGTACACATAGTTACATGTAGTGACTGATCCTTCGCTAAGCGTGAAAATCAAGGGTCTTTCGGAGACCTCAAAAACTGAGGTTCCGTGTCGCAATTGGTGTTGGCATAATAAAAAAAAACCCTTATCGCCCTAGCTGATTCCAAGTACAAGTCTAAATCAGAAGCTGTTCACCGGTATATGGTGACGTCTCTAAAGGATTAAAATTCTGAAATTGAACGTAAAACATCAATCATAATTTTTTTTTTTTTTTTTTTTTAAGATATTCAACAAATCGGTTTTTATCTAATATAGAATGCCAGGAGAGATATGGAAGAAGCCGAAAAAGCTGCTGTTGAAAAGCGTAAAGCTGAAGAAGAAGCAAGAAAAAGGGCAGAAGAAAGAGCTCAGAAGAAGGCTGAAGAGGAGCGACTTCGTCAAGAGGAGGAAAACAAGAGACTTCAAGAAGAGGCGGAAAAGAAGGGAACTTCATTTGAAGATGAAAAACGACAATTTCTCGAAGAAAAGGCGAGAAAAGAGGAGGCTAGAAAAAATCCGAAAAACTGGCCAAGATATATGTAAGGAAGTTTTAATCAGATTATTGTATAGTAAAATTGAATTGAATAAGCAAAATTAAGCGTTCTGATATGCTTTTTGAAATTAAAAACCACGTGTCTTGAGCTTTTGAATCGTATTGAACTAATTATTACCATATTGATAATGCCTAGTTCATAATTCGTTTTAGTCCATTGTTTTTACTCTTTTTAGTTATAGCATTGAGTCTGCTAACCTTGATCAAGGGGTACCTGGGTGTGTCATCCGGGCAATTGAAGGCAGTATGACGCGTGATGACGTGACTGTAACAGCTGTCGATCAATTGTCTGGTACTCTGACCCTGGTAGAGAACGAGGAATTAATAAGCAACATCATATTAATCAAATCAACAGACCCTGAGAAGAAATTTCAGGTCAGATATTTTTCGTCGAACAAATTTAAAAGATTTTAAAGCAGTTATGTAAAATTGAGGATAAATTTCTATTTGTTTAATCGTAAGAGTGATTATCTCTTTTCAGTTTGAAGAACCAGTAGCTGTTGCAATACCTCACTGTCTACAGAGAAACATTCCCGGTAGAGAACCAGTTATTAAACAGCTGCAACCAAATGGCAGGTGGGCGGAGCTCCCCACAAATGACGTCATTATAGAAGACATCCGCGTAAGTTCTATTTTATATTTGAATTATAAAATCGTTTGTCCTTTTTACTGTAAAGATTTGAGAAAAACGGAGAGTGGCTTATCTACAAAAATTTTAAAAATAAATCCATTTATTCTGCATTTGCAGGAATTAAAGTTCGTAGAGATAAGGACACGAAGATTTGGGGTATTTGCTGTAGTGCTGAGGCTTAAGAAGGACACACTCGCATTCATGAGAAGAGGAAACAAAGTTAATTCCACTGTTGACGCTCGCATAACCTTCACCTGTAAACCAGGAACATTCAAAAACAACGTTTGCTTTACTAGTGAGGTACAAAATCCCATGGTCTTATGTGCTTTATCCTTTAAACCAAAAGTTTTCGAAGGATGACTATGCAATTTTTATTTCTGAATTTCTGTCAGAAAACGCTGCTTACATAAATTTTGACTCAAAAACATTTAATTCGAGTTCATTCGTTAAAATTGCCATATTTAGGTAAGAAAAGTGAGTAAATCTCACCTCATTCTAGGGGTATTATTTTAAAAGGAAAAGTTAAGTAAAGGGTATGGAGATTAAAGAAAATATCTGTTGAACTACTGTATTGATTTACCCATATCAGAAATTATGTTAGTTTCCTTGTACATTGTAATAAGCATTTAAATTAAATTTCAATTTAAAGCATTCCAAATTAGTCACATGATAATAATTTGAGCGTGTCTTACGTATCTTTATTTTGTCTCATGAAGCTTAAAGGTTTGCAGAAATAGTATTTCAAATGTTAGACGTTTGTCTTATACTGACTTTGGCTACGGAAAGTTCCCTTTACCTGATTAAAACATAATGGTCACGGTTGATGTGACCGGTCATCAAGGGATGATTATTCCTCCTAGGCATCTGATCCCACCTTTGAAATTTCTCATTACTTATTTAAATTGTTCCTATTATCACTTTTCTCATTTAAACATTTTGCCAAATTAACAACTATAACTCAATACCTTTGTTTACGATGTTGCAATAAGGACTAAATATATTGATTTTTGAATGTTAGATTTAATTTTCGTTCAAAAAAGTCAATGTGCGTCTCTTGTTTGTAAATTTTAGCAAGAATGATACATGTAACTTTTATTATATTTTTCAATTAGATATCTATCGCTTTTATAACTTACATAGTAATACCTCTTGTAGGTACAAACACTGGATGTCAATACAGTAACAGATCTCAATAAACGATACCCTACCGAATGTGGCAGCCTTCTCTCCTCTAGTCCAATACTTAGATTTCAAATACCAAACCGGAAGTTTGCCAAACCTTTGACCTTGACACTGCCTCTTCCGCCGAATACAGTCAAACAGAAGCGCCCACAGAGCGTGGCTCCAGGATCATTGAATAGAGAAAAAATGGACCAACGGGAGCAGGCGCCCGCACGACCAGTATCAAGCATGGGATTTACCCCCAAAGAAGGTTACAGAGGATTCCTTTCATTCCTCTCTTATTGAAAATTAATTTGCATCTTTAATGGAAATCTAATATATCTCTGGTCCAAAACAAGGCAGCTTCTAAAGTTTTCTTTATTCAGGTTTTTGTTTTTATGAAATATGAGATTGGTCACTGTTTATTGACTCCATTACATTATGATTTATATGAAGTAGCATTCGTAGTTTAACATTGTACACATCGAGTTTTTGTCAGTTTTGACCAAGAATTGACATAGAGATTGTTTGAAGACGATATGCAAATAATGGTTTGCTAAGAAATAATATTTTCCAAAGTCAAATTTTTTGAGCTTACTATTTTTAGGCTATTTCTTTTCACAGGCCTTTAGATCGCTTAAAAAATCGTGTGTGTAAATTTTACACATCATTTTTTTTTCTAAGCGATCTAAAGGCCTGTGTTTCTTTTTTATTCAGAGTTTTGCAATAATGACGATTTTTTCCCGGAAATTCTCATGGCAAAAGAGATTTTTCATAATCATTACAAGCATTTGCTTCTGATATACCTTAATTTACATTTCAATAACTTGACCTCTCAAAGATGCAAATATTTTGTACTACAAAATGTACTCCCTGGATATATACATGTAGTGGGTCCTTGCTCCATGTATTATTATTAAGCATATTTTGAAGACATGCAAAATTGAAGCAAATTTTAGCTTATATGGTAATATTGTATACTATTATAATATAACGAAACGATCATTTACCCTATTTAGTGGGTGTGCATGCAATTTCATTGACAATTTCAATGTCTGAGAGATTGTTCCAAATTGTTGAGACTTTACAAAAAATACACATTTATGCTAAGCATCAAAATGTTGTTATGATTGAGATTGAATTTTTCATTTTATTTCTCCTCTTGAGCCATGCGCATATTTTCTAATCATATTCTCCATTGCCTTCCATATTTTATCAAAATAAAACGGTCTCTTACCTTTTTCACAATTGACTTGTGTTATTGCAGATGAACCAGAAGAAGAAAGTCACTTAATTGTCCGCGATGACAAAGGTCCTTGGATGGTGCTGCCGAAAGTTAATCTTGTCCAACCTAAAAATAAAGATATTGTCACTTTTGATATTAAAGAGCCCCATGACAGGTGAAATACATGTAGATCTATGTTCACCAAAAAGCATTATTAATGAAAAAAATTAAAAGGTTAATATCAAAATTGTTCACTTGTCAGTATTATCCGTCTTACGTATTTGAAAGATAAAAAGTTTGTTCAACTGTTACCCTTGTATTTACTCTAGGTTTATTCTTGTGAAAACCAAGCAAGGAGTATCTCCATTGTCAATCGAGAAAATAGCAAATCACGTAGAAAAAGCGATTCATCACAGAACAATGCATGTTATATTACGTCAAAGGAGCGACGACCCTAATGAAATAGTCATGATGTGCTGTCCTGCGAGTAAAACAGAGAAAATCATAAAGAAGCTGGGAGAAGAGGGATTTGACGAGGGGCCACCACCAAGCAAGGACATTATCGTCAAAGAGGGACAAATATTAACGGTGGGGTTCAGAGGAAACATTCAGTGTGATAATGATGACGACATCAAAATGGTATTCAACACTTTCATCCGTGGTAGAAAAGAGTTCAGCGTAGAAGAGATTGATAAATTTGCCCAAAAGAGTTTTCCTTTCTACCGCGGATTTGCGCAAGTTTTTACCAAGGTTATGGTCCAGAGACCGGTGGTGGCTGCAGATAAGGCCAAGGCGCCACAAAAACCTGGCGCTATGGAGTGGGTGGAGGAGGACGTTCTACTGACAGAACTCCTGATCAACATTCCAAAGGTTAAACATTGTCTAATTCAGCAGCATTGTCTCCTATTTCTGGTTTAATTATTTCAGGTAGAAGTTTTAGCGATGGATCTACAGAAAAATACAATTTGAGCTATTAGAACTATTTCAGTTGAAGACCAAAAGTATAACAATGCAAATTTAAAACAGGAATATATCAATGTATTAATTTACTGGAAGTTATGTGTACTTACTGTTATTCCTTTCATTTGAAATTCCATTTATCTTTTTTAATCAGCCTGAACCAGAACCACCCAAACCACTGGCTACGGCTCCAATAAGGGTCAGCGCTGAGGGTATGCACAATACCAACTGCTGTTGGCTATTTCGACAGTTTCTTTAACATTTTTTGGCATCCACTTTCGAAAATAAATCATTAAGAAAGCTTTTTATTTCTCACTAGAATATCAAAAAATAGTTTTTTAATATAAAAGATTTATCGTTCTTCCTAGTTTTTCCTTATGAATTATTTAATTTAATATTTTATAGTAATACTTTAAGATATTGTTCAGATACAATGATCTGACTCCATAACATTATAATGTAGATATTAAACAAAATAAAATATCTCATTAAATAATTCTTGTATTTCATTTTAATACTTTCATTTTCGCTTGAATTTTGGTTAAAAGTATACTATTTATAACAATAGAACAACTTTTCTTAAATTATACACTTTATTTCACTTGATTTCTTTTCACTAGGACCCAACAAGGAGGACGTTTTGCAGTTTGTTGCTGGTGAATTGGGAGACGAGTGGAAGAAACTGGCACAGTACCTTTGTCTGAAGTCTGTCCGTATCCAGGCTATTTTACGACAGAACAACCAAAACCCAGATCCTAAGAAAATCCGATACGACATGTTGGTAACCTGGGCCAAAAGAGTCCCTCGATGTTTAAATAAGGTAAATTTCCTTTTGCACTTTTCTTACGTCTGTTCAATGAAAGGCATTATTTGATTTATATTATCGGCATAATCGATCGTAATTTCAGCTGGAGATACTGGCTCAAGCTTTGAACGCTTGCGGGAGAGGAGATTTAGCCGCAGAACTTCGGGATCGAGATGAGGAATTTAGGCGGCGACGTGCGCTAGCATTTAGAGGTGTGTTCAGATTTCTCATGTTCATGAAACCGTACTTTTATTATATACTCGAATCAGTAAGTTAAATAGGCCTTTATGATACTTCCTATTTTAATAGATAGCTACTTGAGGAGGGCTTTCGTTAAAGTTGCTCAAAACCCAGAAGCTGTGAAAGGATGGAAGACCATAGCTTCACGACTTGGTGTTTCTAGCGATGACGTAAATGAAATTGACCAATCAGCGCCATCGATACAACAGAAATGTTTCTCCAGCCTCCAAAGATGGCAAAAGTCTGTCGGTGACGAAGCGACGCTGCCGATATTGTCAGAAAAATTAAGAGTTTGCAAGTACAGACAGTTAGCAAGTGAGTTATTTGCCATCTTTGCAGACATTCAAATACAAATATTAATGCATTTGAAAATATTTATAACAATGGTTCACTGTCATAAATAAAGATGAATATTTTATTATGAAGAATTGAATGTTCTACAAGCAAGGTTTATTTTCTTTTCCAGGAGATATTGAAACGATCTCCTAGAAGTCGAAGGATAATTACGTGCTTCAAACTGACTGCATGTCTGATAGGAAAATCTGCACGATAGAATAAATGTCTAACAACTCTATCAATCTTATGAAATTCGATATATCTAAAATAGTTCAGTCTTTCATATTTTAATAATGAAAAAAAATTAGTCCCAAGCCTATTCCTACAGGTATTGCCAAAGATCTTCAATTGTTAGTAATAATATTCTGCTATATACATGTATTTACTGTTTGAGATTTAAATCAAATCAAAGACCGTAACTTGTGCCTATATCAGTACATATGTACAGTATACATATATATCAATATTTATACATAGAGTACTTTTACATTCAAGAAAATGGACAGGTGTGGTGGAATTTATAGGATATTTATATTGCTTAAATATGTAGATAGTTAATCTTAAAACTCAATGCTTTTATAGTTTATTAAGAAAATTAGATAAGAATTGCATTTAATTTACAAATTTACAAATGTTTACACTTTTCATATTCTTAGTATATTATATTTTTACAAAACAAAAATGGTGCACATATTCAAATGATTATCAAAGCTGTGATATTTTATAGTTTTTAATAAATATTTATAAACTGCATGATTACTCTTATAAATGACACATGATATAATCCAAAACTTTAAATAATCGGCAAAGGTGAGTTTGTCGCAGATATCTTCCATTAATTCATATCTTTCTCATCTCAAGTACTTCATAATTACATGTACATTGTACATGTTGTAGACGTATTCCCGAAAGTAACCAAAAGAAAATTTACCCGTACTGCTAAGTAAAGGTGCATGGATTTCCAGCTTGCTATGTCTTCAAATACACAATTTGTACAAAAACACTGTTTCACCTATTCATTTATTTGTTTGCCATTGAAATAAGGCCATGTTTTCGCACATACTTCCTATAATCTCCCATGACAACGTCGTCATAGCGACGCAAGGTAGCGGAGTGTCCGTTTATATTTATGGAGGAGGATGAAAGACGATTTCGGGATTCTGGTGAATCCATAATAATTTTCCACCGTTTACTCAAAGGTATGAATTGAATGGATACGACACTTGTTCCTCTATGAATTTTCGTCAGTTTCTTCAGTTCGTGAAGAACGGTCATGTGATCAACATTTGCATCAATGACGTCAAAGCACAGAGCTTCCGGGGATAGTGATGGTGGTTGGCAGACTGATTTGGATTTCTTCATGTCAGATATTTATACTTCCATAAAGTTTGAAAAACTGTTAAAATTTAAAACGACATATTGGTATAAAGTATTTTTATATCATAAAGGGCATCAGTGGGTACCTTAGTATACCTTGTAAGTGTTACCATGCGCCCGAATCGATAGATCGGGGCGCATATTGTTTTTTTCTGTTTATCTGTTTGGCTGTCTGTCTCATGTCAACTTTAACCTTTGCCATTATGATAACTTTTAATCGTGAGAAATAGAGACTTTATATTTGGTATGCATATTCCATTAATTAAGCTCTTTTGAATGACACCAAGTTTAATGACCCTGACTGTGACCTATAGGCTAAAGATAGCTTTTTCGAACTTTCTCCATAACTTTTGAACTATATAGTAGATGGAGACTTCATAATTGGTCTGCATACTCCACTAATTAATTAAGTCCTCTCAATGAGCACCAGTGTCAATGATCTTGTAACCTTGACTGTGACCTATATGCTAAATAGAATTTTGTTGCCATCGGGCGCATAGTGTTTTATAAAAATGCATTTGTAAATTGTAAAAAAAAATATATACTGATATGTAGTGCTATTTTTTTTTTCTGTAGGGTTTCAAAATAAAATACTCCTTTCCCTCTTGAGCAATTTTAAGCCATTAGCAATCAATTTTCTTTTTTTTAACCGATAACTTCTCAAATGAAGTGATGGGATGTGATACCATAATTGCTTCACAACTTAATGTTTCTAACGATGACGTAAAGAGATGGCATCCCAATATCCCCATCTTAAAAAGTCATACCCATACAGCAAGTAATAAGTAATTGGAAAAAAATAAAGGATAACCAAACAAAATAATGTAAATTCACTGAAAATCTGTAATTTTAAGTGCATGATTGATAACATGACAGAAGAAAAGGTTGTAAAATGGAGTTCATGATGTCTTACCTGCAACGTTAGATTTGTTTCTTTTATCAACAAAGAATCTAATTTAAGAGAATGTTCCACCCGAGCTTCTGAAAACTCACTGCCCATTCCTTAGCTTTGGTAGTTACTGTTACTCGTCATGTAATTAATCCCTGTGGTACCGAATACTCTCATTTATTTTTGTTAGATGCATTAATAATGTCCGAAGTCTTTTCTTCCTTTAGGTATGTCGGGACCTCTTCGGTGTTTTTGGTTCATTTATAATTCAGATGGATATTGCATCCTTGGTAATTTCATCTTATACAACTTCGAACCAGTAAATGCACAAGATACAAAGTCGTCTTTCAAAACACTATGCAAGCAACACAGTGCGATGTCTAAATTTACATTCTTAAAGACTATTATCGTGATTTTTAACGTAATTTTCAATTTGATATTAAAATTAACTCCCCAAAACCCCGTATAAATGTTTGGATCATCAATGTACACAACATGCTTAATAACCTCTTTGCAGCTCATAAATAAGAGTTGTACATGTAGTTTACGGTATTTTTCTGCTCTTGCATCAAAACTCAAAAGTAAAAGTTTACAGGGAAAAGACATGGGCGATTTTAAGCCAATTTACAAGAAAGAGAAATCGAAGATTTCTTAAGTGAAACATTGGGACAGAGTGGGTATCCTTCGATCAGAGACATAAATATTATGTCTCTGCTTCGGTACAATATTAGGGACATAAAAGAAATTTAAAAGGTTATATATTTAAAAATCTATATCAGTCAAAATTTAATATATATACGTATATATTAAAGTTTCTCGCAGTGAGATAATTAGGAGAAAATCTACTTTTTAAGGAAATACGGGAATGCGATATGTTGTCCAAGTAAATAGACATAATTTTATGTACGTTGATTTGGAAAAAAAAATACATATTGGACTTTTAAAATTGTCTTATGTAACGGGTGTAATATTTTTTTACGTGCATATATGTAAATAATTTAGAAATGTATAAATCCTTACTTGATATAATTAGAAAACAAGGATGCTGAAATCAGAGACATAACATTCTTCTAAACTTCTAAGGTAATTTTTAATGTACCTTTCAATTTGATTAATGGTAAAGGAGTATTCCACTTAAGTATAGTAGCGTGGTCCCTTTTTACACCCTTGGTTTACTGGATATATAGTAGTAATCGGTATTTTGTTTGATTTCATTGTGTATAACAAAGTACTTCTAATAAAATCATAATGATTTCATAATGATTTATTAAAGATATCAAAAAGTACAAGCCGATTTTTCAACACCCATCGTGCTAAAAAATGCCGGAACTTTTCCCCTCCATCAGACTACGGTTTTTCTGTTACATGTAAATGGGCGGAGACATTTATATTAGATACTATAAAAAGAATATCCGTGATATATAATATTTTCCATTCAAAGACGAATTATATGTTCAAGATTCACAATCAACAACAAATTTAAATTATCTATTCACAAAACTCTAGCAATATGAATGGGTCACTATAAGATTAACCAAACAAGTCCATATGCTGACCGATACAAGATCTGAGTACATTTCAACAGAGTGCTTGCTAGCACGTTTACTGTGGGCATTTACCTGTAACGACACAAATCCACGTGGCTTATTGTGATTCGAAACAGGTCATAAAGAGGTTAATCGCATGTAAATGAAGACAGCGACGAGGTTCAAAATCACAATACTTTTATTTGGAAACATAGAGCACAAAGTTGTTCAACAAAGATATTTTTACTCAACCTTTAAAAATATAATATACACAATATATATCAAACTCGACTCTGAACAAATCTGTGCTCGGTGTTTACGAAAGCTTGAAAGTGTGTGCCTGTCAGTGATTTCTTTTGATATTCATGAAAATCAAAGGACCCCAACTTCATAACGTAGCTTCGAATGCTGTGTATATCTATCATTTGACATTTTTAGATGAAGATTCAAATGATAAAGACATTAGTTATTAATAACATTTAATTTTAAAGCCTTTGATAAATGTTTGAAATTTGACGAGTAACCGGGGACCACAGATAAGCCTTAAATGAGACTTGTCCTTTACAATTTATGTCTCTGCTGAAGTATACTTCAAAAGCCGGTATATTTTTTCTTATAACAAAATAAACTTTTTTATCATTCTTTACTATCTAATCCTTTTTTAAATGTACATTAACAAAATTGATTTTATGAACAAGAGTTCTTTTTCACAATAAAAACAAACTACACACAAGTAATAGAAACAGTTAGGAACAATAATATACAATCAGCTAAATAACTCACAATTGTAAAATTTTCGCTTTTTTTCAATCAACTACATCCTTTGAAGAATTTTCGTGAAGATTTGGATGAGGGTAAATTTAATCTCTCCCTTTCGTTGTTTATATCTTGCATGTACCTGTAATTCCTGTACTCTTTCTCACAAATCTCGTCCCATCGTTTGACTATCATGTGATTACCATTCATGTAGAAGCCTTTTCGTAAAAGTGTGTCAACTTCGAACAGGTTCCTCATGGTTGCTAACCAACGGCCATTGACACTGGGATCACCTGACCTCACAGACAGCGGTTCATACTGCAGACGCATGACCTTGACCCCCATCTCAGCCTCGATATGGTTTTTCAGTTCTTTGTGTGTTAAGTTTTCATTGTCTTTGAGGCTGAAACACACTGTAAGGGGCTGTTTTTCTGCGGGCTTTTTTCTAAGATACACCGACGGAAGACAGAGGTCTTCGTATTGCGCAGGCGCTTCCTCCTCACCACTGCAAAATCAGAATATCTCGATCTCAAGCTATTGTTCAACTTCTAAAAAACTATTTTTTAAATGTTTTATAATTTTATATGTGCGCTGAGTTCTTTGTAGTATTAAGATATAGATAGTTGCTGCAGTATTTTTTTAAACTGTTTCTTATTGATCACTATAACAATGAGACAAGATTTCAATAATAAAATACAACATAAAACGAGTCAAAACTTAAAAACCAAACAAAGTGAGAACATATTTGAGGAAAAAAAAAGAATTATATCCATCTCGGTCTCTTAATTTCTTGTTGGTGGTAAAGTCTCAATTCTCAATTTTTTGACATAGATTCATGGTTCGCAGAACATAGAATATGATTAGAATTTTAAATTGAACATTTATTTGATTCATTTTTTCAAGGTCAAATTACTTTTTCCACTCATAAGTAATTAATTATCTAGAACGTGTAAAGAAAGTCTTCAAGTACAAAAACTTTTTGAAGAAGCAAAATAGTAACTTTAAAAAATACAGTACTTTTTTGAATAGAAAAGTTTATATCGATTTAATATTTCATTCGTGTGATTTAAATCATATATATTCATGCATTTCCCTTTAAGCAAAAATGGCATTAGCTATGTGGAAAATATTTATGATCATGCAAAATTTAATAGTTATTTTTGCGGATTTCAATGCTTGTTAAACTATACAAACCTTTCTATTTCGCTGTTCTTTTCTGGTGGTTCTGTTGTAACATCTTTCTCTTTATTCGTAATGACAATTTGTATATTGGGGTCAGACTGTGTTATTTCCGGCTCCTGGACAAAATGAATTTTACACTGCTCCGAGACAATAGGTGCTGACTTGACCTGCTTTCTAACAGACTTTTTACTTGGTCTTCGGAACCCTAGAGACTGGATATTTTCTGGCAATTCTGTGTATATTCCTAGTCTCCTGCGTCCCACATCAAAGGATTTCGCCACGGTAGCAGACTTACTCCTTGTGTCCATGCCTTGGTCTTCCCTTGGAGAGTGGGCTTTTGGGATGCTGGTTTTTGGCCTGGTTGGTTGATCTGTATCAGGCCGCTCAGCAAAATCAAATTTCCAGCTGAAGTTTCCAGACGCAGGGTTATACTGAAAGTGAGGTTTCAGCCCTTTATCTTTCAATACCTTCTCCAGTTTTTCGCGTACTCTTTCTTTTGAACCCGTGAGGTAGCATTTTAGAAACTTCTCGCCAACAACACGACAGGACTCGTTGAATAAGTCATTAAGATCCACACTGCTTACTGGACAAGCGCGATCACTGACAGACAACTTGCGATAAAT